AAGCTTTTCTCCAGTTGGATCACTGAAGCGGCGCCGCCTAATGACGTCCCACGCTAGAATAAAAGTCTTTTGTTTAGCTTTTTTGCCACTTACTGTTGCTGTCATGACTTATTGATACATTTCTCCCATGTTTTTCACTTTATACTATTTCTGCTCTCTCTCTCTCACACATGTCACATTTTAGATGCTTTATTGGCATGACAATTAACTGTACAGTATTGCCAAAGCAGTGCAGTGTCGCTGTGTACAAACAAGACAGTTCAAAAAGGGCAGCAGTGCAAACAAATATAGATATAAAATATAATACAGAGAAAACACAAAAATAAATAAAATAAAAATAAATTAATTAGAATAAAAAATTATTTATTAAATTAAAAATAGCTCTATTGCAGAAGGCCATTCTTCCAGACTTATAACTAAACATTTATCAGAACTAATTTCAGCCAGATAGATTTCTCTATTTATAGACTTCCCAACTTTATTGCTATAGTACAAGCATTTTGTAAACTCTGTATTACAGCAGTTGGAAAGTCTAATTAAATGAGTTCAAGGGTGAAGAGCCCAACTAAACCAGCCCCTCACTCCATTACGGTGACACAAAAAACACCTAAATTTATGTTGGATCTCAATGAGAATAGTATGGAAGTCAAATCAGTCAGTAATAAGTGTGTGTCTGCTGTTGTTTGTGGAGTTGTTTAATGATCCTCTGCTGAGACTGAAGCTGTTTTATTTGATTTTATTTAATGTTGTAACTCAAGTCACTGTGTTTCTTGTTTATTTTCTTCAGTAATTGTAATTATTAACAGCAGGTGTTCATCAGTGTCTGAATTCATTTATTAGTGTTCATTAAAACTGTCAGGTGAACTATATTAGTTAACTAGTGTATGAAATAGTGAACAAGGACACAAAGTGTGATTTCAAACACAGACTTCAAAACATCGAATCTGAACTCTGTTAGCTCACAGTTTTCTGCAGTTGGTTACTTTCTCGAAAACAAAAATGTTACCCAGAAAGCACTGTTTTTAACAGAATATTACTGTTTTAGTGAAAAAACATTATTTTACCGTAGAATCTGACCGTTTTTTTAACAGCAATTTTTTACAGTGTAGATGTGGTTTGGAAAGTGAATTATGCATAGGAAAATATTTAAGACTCTTAAATATTATCATAGTTAACCAGTGGACTATGACTATGCAAATGCGGGCCACGTTATGGATGACACCTCCCAGGGACCAACTCACAGGATCATCTAATCACAATGCTGGATTTGAAAGGTGACATCCTTCAATCCCGCCTTCCAGAGAAAGTATTAAAGACATTTTCTTAAACAAAGAAGGCCTGTAAAAAGTCTGTTAAGTGTGGGTCCTAAAGAGTGTGTCATAAAAGGTGGTCGAAGAGTGGTCAAAGTGTGGTTCATGGTGGTTTGCGGGGTTTTGTCCTAAACATCAGACCTTTTGCTGCGTGTTCCAGCAAGGATTTGGTAATTGGATTCACAGTGCTTTTTTAAGGCGTCTGAACCATCGCATCAAGGCCACCACCTCCAAAAATCTGCGTGTCCCAGATTTCCAGGAACTCTACCTTCAAAGAAAAGGCATCGGCATGTTCCCAGCATCGAACCACCACCTCCAGAAATCTCCAATTTCTGCGTGTTCCAGAAGATACAGAATTTCTACGCTCAAGGATAAAGACGTCGGCGTGTTCCCGACATCGAACCACCACTTCTAGAAATCTCCAGTCTGCGTGTTTCAGAAACTACAGATTTCTTCCACTCAAAGCTCAAGAGAGCCAAGTCTGCTCGTTTCATGCTTCAAGATCTGCAGGAAGATCCAACTTCTTCCATCCACTGCATCAAAGGCAGAAACGTAAATATTCCACTTGCCAACCCTTTAAATTAAACCTTTGCATAGTGTGTTTCAGTATAAAATATTCTAATTAATTAGATGTTTAAAACTGATATTCTTTAATAACAAAAACTTGCTCAGTTCTTTGTTATTGTAAAATAAGGTTTACCTTACATTAACTTAATCACCTTCATCACTCGCCTATGCACTTCATTTATTGTACTTTTAGTAATTGTAGTTACCCTTGATTACTATTTTGTTAATAAATACACCTTTATTACAATTGTGTTTTCCTTGTGTTGATAATACAGAAAAAGGCTCTACAAGTCAAACGATCTCATTATCCTTCAGATTTGGCCAGATAATAAACTCCTCATTTGTATAATTTAACTAACAATATTTTATTGTTAATTATTTTGACAGTGGAAAGCTGTCTGGTGCCCCGTTTAAAAGGAGTTATTTATCTGTTATTTCTACATATTTGGTGCCCTGTGTATAAAATATCATAATTAATATCAATACCTAAATATTGATTTTAATATTTGATAAATCCAATCATCACTACAACTCCAAAAGTGTCGATTCCTCAATGACCTAGTGCTGGAATTGACTCGAAGACAGGAATCTACTCCCAGAAACGAGTCTGTTTTTTTTTCTTCTTCAAACTCTCCAGAATGAAGCAGTTACACGCTACACTACAGTTATAATGCTTATTCTTGAGCACAATGAACATCGAAGACACGCTTTACACGTTTGCTTTTGAATTTTAAGACCACCAGCACTAGCTATTAGAATTAGTGCTGCGGGAGTGCTCTTTGTAACATTATTATGTGACCATAGAATGACTAAAACAGAACTTCCTCCTTAAGTCATATTGGAAATGTTATTATATGCTTAAAGGAGGACCATGTAAAAACGTTCTATTAATGTTAGAAAGGTTCTCTTTGTAACGTCATTATGTGACCATCGCAGGACGAAAAAAGAACGTCCTCCTTAAGTCATATTGGAAACGTTATTATATGACTAAAGGAGGACCATGTGAAAAAGTTCTGTTAATGATAGAAAAGTTCTCTTTGTAACGTTATTATGTGACCATAGAATGACCAAAACAACATCCTCTTAAAGTCATACTGGGAACGTTATTTTATGACTAAAAGAGAACGTTTTAAGAACATCCCTAATGTTCTGTAAAGGTTGCACAAGGAACGAGAACGTCGCCTTCAACCTGCGACAGACATCATGAGGACTTCAGTAACAAAACAAGGGTCTTTGCTCTGTTGCTTCGATACGTACTTTCACTTTTTGTGTCTCACAGCTAGTCGTTTAGATTGTACTCACACTAGGTACAGTTGCCTCGACTGGGCCAAAGCGGCTTGTCCCCCCTCCCGTCTCCCCCGACGGCCCGCGCTCACACCACAAACGGGCTTCGGCACGCTTATGTCATCGCTGCTGGGCTGTTCAGTGAGAAGCACTCTCTCACTCAGCAGCACAGTGGAGATTTCTCTAGTTATATCGTTTCAGTCGTTTGTTATGCAGTCAAATATTTTGCCAAACAGTCCTTAGGGATGCGAGGACACGCAGTCAGATATTTCGCCGAACAGATCCGCCACTTTTGGCGCTTATAAACAGTCATAAAGCTCTCGTGCTGCAGGAAAGAGGAGGTCTGCTGAAGGCGCGCAGCTGTCGTGAAGTGAGGGGTTTTCTTTAATAAACTACGGCAGTTTGCGTTCACTGAACAGTAAGAATGATTAATAAATCCATATGAAACAGTCCCTTAAAAGTCACGTCTCGCTTTCAGTTTCGGGCTTTGGCGCGTTTTGCACTCACACACAAACGTACCGCGCCAAAGCCTAAGTGAACCGGGCTCAGGCACACCTCTTCCAACCGGGCCAGGGCCGGCCAAGTGAACTGTGCTTGAGCCCAATTCAGCGCACTCACACTTCTCAAACGATCCGGGGAACGGGCCTGGGCACGGTACGGATGGCATAGTGTGAGTAGGCCCTAAGTTTACACTGCTCATCTTGACACGGTTTCTCTACTTGTTTCCCCGCACTGCAACAGTTCAGTCAACTTCTCTTTCTTCCACACACCACATAATGCTGCCCACTTCAACTCTCTTCCTCTTTCTTTTTTTTTTCAAATCTGTGTCTTATCAATATGACCAAAATGACTTTTATAATCAATTATGTAAGAAACTCTGAAAACTGGACTGACACTGTTTAAATTTACTATAACTTCTATGGTAAGTGGCTTTGGCACACTTTACATTGTAAAAGCACTAGATACATAAAGATAATTAAATTGATTTTGCTTAAATGTGTGCAAGGGACCAAACAAAATATGATCTGATTTATTTTAGATTTAATGGGCATCAAATTTACAGTGTGTAGCCAATGTTTCCAGTGTCTTTTCACTTTTCAGCTTTTGATGAGAGTTTTAAAGACTTAATGAAAACTAATGTTTTATTTTTTTTTATTTCAGACCTAATTGAAGAGAATGAGGAGAATAAAGAGGAGGAACATAGTGTCAAAATTGAGGAAAAAACTCATTTACACACTGATGGTATTTTGAAAAGGAGAGACACCTGCACTCAGTGTGGAAAATGTTTCAGCCGATCATCATCCCTTAATAAACACATGAGGATCCACACTGGAGGGAAACCATATACTTGCACTCAGTGTGGGAAGACTTTTAACAGCTCATCACTACTTAATCAACACATGAGGATCCACACTGGAGAGAAACCATTCACATGCACTCAGTGTGGAAAGAGTTTTGGAAGAAAAGGCAATCTTAAGATTCACATGAAGATCCACACTGGAGAGAAACCATTCACATGCTGTCAGTGTGGGAAGAGTTTTAACTGCTTATCACACTTTAATCTACACATGAGGATCCACACTGGAGAGACACCATTCACATGCACTCAGTGTGGGAAGAGTTTCAGCCAATCATCATCCCTTAATCAACACATGAGGATCCACACCGGAAATAAACCATTCACATGCACTCAGTGTGGGAAAAGTTTTAAAAGCTCATCACACCTTATTCGACACATGAGGATCCACACTGGAGAGAAACCATTCACATGCACTCAATGTGGGAAGAGTTTCAACCAATCATCACAACTTAATCAACACATGATGATCCACACTGGAGAGAAACCATTTACATGCACTCAGTGTGGGAAGAGTTTCACTCGATCATCATCCCTTAATCTACACATATTAACCCACACTAGAGAGAAATCATTCATTTGTACTTAAGCAAGAGAATAGTCCCGTTTTCCCCATGCATAGAAGTAAATACAAAAGTTTAGTATCATTTTAAAGAAAACCCTTTAAAATTACATTTAATACTGTTGACAAGTACAATTATTGTTTATATTGTCTGTGTTAAAATAAACACACAAAAAATCGCTTTTTATATAAACTGAAGTTTGAAAATGTGTAACTCAGGCCTTGAGTGCTCCAGCACCCTGGAACCAATTTCATTTCTTTCCAGCAGGTGTCGGTAAACACACAAAAAACGAAATTTCTCTTTTTTAATAATACATGCAAGAGTTATTCTATTACAACTGCAAGAAGGAAACATGCCAAAAAATGTATTTCTGCCTACCTAATTTTGTAGTCTCCCCAGATCCACATACAATACAATAAATGCAATATCTTATTGTCATTTTAAAGAAAATACTTTGAAATTACAAAAAAAAAAAAAAAAACTGCTATAGGTGATACATATTATTATTATTATATATATTGTTGATCTTATGATGAACCACCTCAACACAAACCGCTTTTAGTTTTTTTTTTTTGGTTCTAAAGCCAGCCTTAGTGCAAAACTCCGGCCCTGTGTGCTCTATCAAACCGAGGCCAGTTTTGTTTGTTACCAGCATGTCAGGAGGCACTGGAAAAAAAAATAATTTTGTCTTTATCATGTAGTTTGCAAGAATTATTTTAGTTCAACCTGTAAGAGTTGAAATATTGCAAATATTTTGATGTCTTTGACAATTCAAAACATGAGCTGAAAACAGAGACTGGTGACTCCAAAACCCAGCAGGTGGGAATGCGGGAAAAACCAGTTCCTGCTGCATTTGCATCGGAGTCTGCTGAAACTCAGCTTCATCCACCCCATCTCACACATATGGTCATTTCAATGTTTAAATGTTCTAGATTAACCAAACTGACTTTAACTATCATGTTTGATATCATTTGAAATGTCTCAGTGCGACTGGTACAATGGTCTCATTCTCTCAGAAATAGACATAATCAAAACAATAAATATATAACTTCAGGCATCTTTTGAACCACTGTGAAGGGTGTGACTTTTCCACAGGCAGCACTAAGTGTGAATGCCTTTTGTTTTACACACACCCCCTTCCTTGAGGGAATTCTTGGATTATTTAAGGTAAGGTTTGAGAAAGGCTCAGGGCGATTCTGCCTAACCAGATCAGCCCATAACATGGAGCCTGCTCAATCTTATGTATATTTCAAAGTCAGGATATGCATCTTTTCATCTTGGATTCGTCTGTGATAATTTGATGTGTTGTATTGATCATTTATGAATTGACTGATTGAAATTGGCATAATACATTTACCTGACTAATAAATTGTAATGTTTTGAATTATTCAAGCAGAGTTTGTGTTATTATCTCTAGTAGATTGTGGTAATTTCATAGCACCAAAAGCCCCTGTACAGGTTAGTAGCGGACTAGAACACGGTAGACGGAGCATTGCGGCACGCTATACGATGTCTCTAGAGCTCCGACTAACACATTGGCATTAATTCATGTATACTTAGGCTGTAAAAGGATATCTAAGGGGATAGTCTTTCACCTGATAAACTTATAATTCTTTTTAGATAGTATAGTGATTATTTGAAGTTACTAATAGTTTAGGTACGACTGGTCTGCTTAATTCTATAGTAATGATCATTATATGACTAAATAGCTCTGTTTGATTTAGGAGGTAGCAGACCTATGGGGACCGCATAAAAAATATCCTAATCTGAGTAAGTAGGGTTCTGCCTTTTTAGGATAGCGGTCAATCGCCACTGTTTAATGACCAAGACTGACATGCTTGTGTTTAAGAAATTGTATACTCGGCCGGTACAAGATTCAGGATGTTATAGGAATCCCAATGAACGAGAATAACATAAAATGATGAACCGAAGAGAATATTCAATCATAATCTAAATTAATGTGAACGGAAACAAAATAACCTTCTCAATGTTTTATAATTGGAGTCAGATAAAACGAGGATAAATATATTAATATTCTAAACCACCTCATACTAAAATTGGAGTCAGATATGAGTTAAGTTTAGTATAAATCAACATTGTGCACTGGAAAGATCGAACATGCAGTGAACCTTCATCCACCAGTGGATACCGTCATTGGACCGACTGGCTGGACCTTACAAAATAACCAAAAGGTGGGAAAACACAACTTTTCTGTAATTCAAATCACCAAGTTTCCTACCTGTCAAAAGTGAAAATCAAGATATTACAAGGCTTATTATCTCAAAAGTCATAATTTTACTTCTTTATAACCACATCAAAATCATAACACTATATCAAAAAAGCAAATGGCACAGTAGTACTTTTTTTCCCTTGATCCGGTTTTTCTAAAACATAATTTGTTCTGACAAAAATCTTCTTTTAGGGTTCCTTTCCTTTTTTAGAAGCCATTTTTAGAGTTTTGAACAAACCTGTATACCTGTATAACAAACCTGCGCTGTTATATGGAGAGTCTGACCTATGTGTTTGTTTACGCACAGCTTTGTGCGTGGGGGAGAGCCCACCTCTTCCCATTTATTCGGCAGTATCTCCGCCACTGATTGGCCGATCTCATGTCGCGATGTATCAACATAAAACTGAGTGTGTCGCCTTTTCAATGATATATATATAACTTCTAGATGGGCCGACGCTATCTCGAATTTTGGAATATCATGTCCCAAATTTGTTGCGGTTGATACTTACAAGCAGGGGATTACCCCACCCAGCACGACACGTTATTTCAACGTCGTTTATTGGGCTAAATCAAGTCGGCCCGTCATAGACTTCATTTAGTCCAAATATCGACATCGAAAATTAATCTGTATTTGGTCCGTTGGATTTGGTCCAGACATAGACCAAATATCGTCGTGGTCTTTGTTTTGCCCGTTGGATCTGGTTCACATTTAGCCCAGTATTAGACTTGAACATATGGTCATGAAGAATTACATGAGTTCCTCACAAAATGTTTTACATCTTTTGCTTTCTTTCCAGTCCAATGTAGAAAGCCAAATATATTTATATGAATAGCGGTTTCGTGCCATTTACATTTAATTTATGCCAAACAAATTACGACGTTACAGCAGTTAACTCCTTCAGTATGTTCCCTGCTGCTTCATGCACTGATGCAAATTCTTTTCAGGTAAGTCGATTTGTTGATAAAGCAAAAGATTCCTACAAACATTGTAACAAATAATGTAAATTAACATTTCAAGTCCATCAGCGTAAAAAATAGATTTAATAAAATTGCAATACACTTCATAATGCCTTTTTGTTTATGCTTTAATCTATTCATCTTGTTATTAATAATTTATACATTAACTATAATCCTATTTGCTGTAACAACAGGCTAAACACAGGATGCACATCAATACACGCATATTTTTACAAAGTAATTGAAGGATTAAATTATTTCAACAATGATAATTTTCTACATAAATATGAAAATCACTACCTTCATGCCTTCTTACCTCGGGGCTTGGCCCCCTCATCAGACAACAACAATACAACATTTTTTTTTTGCGATTCGTTTCATAACCGAGAAAGCATAGCTACGATGTGATGAATAACATGGTTTTGGCAAGCCAGGCTCATTTACAATCTTGAATAAAGTATAAAGTAACTGCTTTTCTTTGATCTCTTGACTCGCGTGGCCGTGTGTCCCTGACCTGTGTCAACGATATTGAGAGGTCAGTAAAACTGAACATTTCAATATCTCGACTCGAAAGCCGTGTAGAGTTCTGTCGATTGACGCGTTGTCCTTTTTCCATTAAAATATCTCAAATGATCATATGTGATCTCCTCAACTGACAAGGGAAAAACGTCAAAAACATACTAGATGCTTTAAACTGTTGTTAGTGACAGCACAATGCAATATTGAAAATTCTGAAATCAATAATGATTTTTAAATAAATATTTGTCAATACTAGATGTTTTAAAGAGCAGGTCATTGTACACACATAGGCATATAGAGCGCTATGATAAACACCATGTGTGTCAATTAAAACACGTTATATGCAAATTAAACTCTGAACAATGTTTTTGATAGGCTATAAATGATCATGTATTTTTCTACAAGTAAGATAATATGCAAAGATGTGCTGTTAAAAAATTTGTTCATATTATAAAAATAATTTTAAATATAAATTTTTTTTAAAATCACAAAATATAGAAAATTGTATCAAATGTTGATATTTATTGAAGGTATCATCTCAAAGTTTGAAATTCCAGCATTGTGAAAACACTAGTTACAATTATTGTAAACATTATTATATGCATTAAAAGCAATATGAGGGTTTCTATTGCATGTATGTTTGACATTTAAAATTAAATTAAATTAGAATTAAAGCTCTTTTTAACAGCAATTGTTTCTAGTATCTTATTGAAAGCATATTTAGTTTTTTAATTCAGCTTTTGCCAATCACAAATGATTAAATGTTTTAATTAAGGAATAAAAAGGTTTTTTATATTGTTTGTAAACTTACAATATGAATAAATTTAGTAATGTGTAAAAATAACAATAAAACATAGCAAGAAAACTCTTTATGGATAATTACTAAATTGTAAATGAATTGGCAGTAACAATTTACAATTAAATTTTTTTTTAGCTGAACATTCTATTTGCTATAAATGCTAATATCACGTGACACTGAAATCAGGATTAAAATATTTTTAAATTGTCTGATATGTGATTTTTATTAGCAGTATTATTATTATTATATGCATATTTATATTTGTTTTAATAATAAAAAAAAAAAACAATTTGTCCACCTGTCAGGTTTTGGACCATATGGGGCACAGCATGTGTATATTCAGTTTTTGGACCACACTTCATTATTATTGCTCAAGTAACAAAATAATATTGCGCCGTGCCACATTGCGCCAGGTGTGTGATAGGGCCCAATGTCTTTTGTGCTCAGCAGAAGAAACTAATTTTAAACCCCTTTAATTG